GTTGTGGGGCTGCCAGGGCGTCCAGGCGGCGTGGCCGGAGGATCGTGTGCGCTGGCCGCGTAGCCAAGAGGAGTGCGGTGCTGGTACAGCTTGCGGCGGCTGCGTTGGAGGCGTGGTTTGTGTGCTGTGGCGTGTTTAAGTTTGCGGCGCGGTGAGGGTGGTGTCGTGGATGCTAGGACAGCTTGGCCGAGCGGTTAAGGCGATAGACTCGAAATCTATTGGGGTAACCCGCGTGAGTTCAAGTCTCACAGCTGTCGATCTCTTTATGTCCGCGCCACCTGCTGCTCGTTCCCATCGCTTTTACGCCGTCTGGAGGCCGGCGCGGTGTCCGGGCGGCTGTCGCGGACTCCGGCCAGTCGTATGGGCGCGTCGGTGGGCGAAGCAAAAGCGTGGGAGCGGTGCAGAGTTGTGGGGCTGCCAGGGCGTCCAGGCGGCGTGGCCGGAGGATCGTGTGCGCTGGCCGCGTAGCCAAGAGGAGTGCGGTGCTGGTACAGCTTGCGGCGGCTGCGTTGGAGGCGTGGTTTGTGTGCTGTGGCGTGTTTAAGTTTGCGGCGCGGTGAGGGTGGTGTCGTGGATGCTAGGACAGCTTGGCCGAGCGGTTAAGGCGATAGACTCGAAATCTATTGGGGTAACCCGCGTGAGTTCAAGTCTCACAGCTGTCGATCTCTTTATGTCCGCGCCACCTGCTGCTCGTTCCCATCGCTTTTACGCCGTCTGGAGGCCGGCGCGGTGTCCGGGCGGCTGTCGCGGACTCCGGCCAGTCGTATGGGCGCGTCGGTGGGCGAAGCAAAAGCGTGGGAGCGGTGCAGAGTTGTGGGGCTGCCAGGGCGTCCAGGCGGCGTGGCAGGAGGATCGTGTGCGCTGGCCGCGTAGCCAAGAGGAGTGCGGTGCTGGTACAGCTTGCGGCGGCTGCGTTGGAGGCGTGGTTTGTGTGCTGTGGCGTGTTTAAGTTTGCGGCGCGGTGAGGGTGGTGTCGTGGATGCTAGGACAGCTTGGCCGAGCGGTTAAGGCGATAGACTCGAAATCTATTGGGGTAACCCGCGTGAGTTCAAGTCTCACAGCTGTCGATCTCTTTATGTCCGCGCCACCTGCTGCTCGTTCCCATCGCTTTTACGCCGTCTGGAGGCCGGCGCGGTGTCCGGGCGGCTGTCGCGGACTCCGGCCAGTCGTATGGGCGCGTCGGTGGGCGAAGCAAAAGCGTGGGAGCGGTGCAGAGTTGTGGGGCTGCCAGGGCGTCCAGGCGGCGTGGCCGGAGGATCGTGTGCGCTGGCCGCGTAGCCAAGAGGAGTGCGGTGCTGGTACAGCTTGCGGCGGCTGCGTTGGAGGCGTGGTTTGTGTGCTGTGGCGTGTTTAAGTTTGCGGCGCGGTGAGGGTGGTGTCGTGGATGCTAGGACAGCTTGGCCGAGCGGTTAAGGCGATAGACTCGAAATCTATTGGGGTAACCCGCGTGAGTTCAAGTCTCACAGCTGTCGATCTCTTTATGTCCGCGCCACCTGCTGCTCGTTCCCATCGCTTTTACGCCGTCTGGAGGCCGGCGCGGTGTCCGGGCGGCTGTCGCGGACTCCGGCCAGTCGTATGGGCGCGTCGGTGGGCGAAGCAAAAGCGTGGGAGCGGTGCAGAGTTGTGGTGCTGCCAGGGCGTCCAGGCGGCGTGGCCGGAGGATCGTGTGCGCTGGCCGCGTAGCCAAGAGGAGTGCGGTGCTGGTACAGCTTGCGGCGGCTGCGTTGGAGGCGTGGTTTGTGTGCTGTGGCGTGTTTAAGTTTGCGGCGCGGTGAGGGTGGTGTCGTGGATGCTAGGACAGCTTGGCCGAGCGGTTAAGGCGATAGACTCGAAATCTATTGGGGTAACCCGCGTGAGTTCAAGTCTCACAGCTGTCGATCTCTTTATGTCCGCGCCACCTGCTGCTCGTTCCCATCGCTTTTACGCCGTCTGGAGGCCGGCGCGGTGTCCGGGCGGCTGTCGCGGACTCCGGCCAGTCGTATGGGCGCGTCGGTGGGCGAAGCAAAAGCGTGGGAGCGGTGCAGAGTTGTGGGGCTGCCAGGGCGTCCAGGCGGCGTGGCCGGAGGATCGTGTGCGCTGGCCGCGTAGCCAAGAGGAGTGCGGTGCTGGTACAGCTTGCGGCGGCTGCGTTGGAGGCGTGGTTTGTGTGCTATGGCGTGTTTAAGTTTGCGGCGCGGTGAGGGTGGTGTCGTGGATGCTAGGACAGCTTGGCCGAGCGGTTAAGGCGATAGACTCGAAATCTATTGGGGTAACCCGCGTGAGTTCAAGTCTCACAGCTGTCGATCTCTTTATGTCCGCGCCACCTGCTGCTCGTTCCCATCGCTTTTACGCCGTCTGGAGGCCGGCGCGGTGTCCGGGCGGCTGTCGCGGACTCCGGCCAGTCGTATGGGCGCGTCGGTGGGCGAAGCAAAAGCGTGGGAGCGGTGCAGAGTTGTGGGGCTGCCAGGGCGTCCAGGCGGCGTGGCCGGAGGATCGTGTGCGCTGGCCGCGTAGCCAAGAGGAGTGCGGTGCTGGTACAGCTTGCGGCGGCTGCGTTGGAGGCGTGGTTTGTGTGCTGTGGCGTGTTTAAGTTTGCGGCGCGGTGAGGGTGGTGTCGTGGATGCTAGGACAGCTTGGCCGAGCGGTTAAGGCGATAGACTCGAAATCTATTGGGGTAACCCGCGTGAGTTCAAGTCTCACAGCTGTCGATCTCTTTATGTCCGCGCCACCTGCTGCTCGTTCCCATCGCTTTTACGCCGTCTGGAGGCCGGCGCGGTGTCCGGGCGGCTGTCGCGGACTCCGGCCAGTCGTATGGGCGCGTCGGTGGGCGAAGCAAAAGCGTGGGAGCGGTGCAGAGTTGTGGGGCTGCCAGGGCGTCCAGGCGGCGTGGCCGGAGGATCGTGTGCGCTGGCCGCGTAGCCAAGAGGAGTGCGGTGCTGGTACAGCTTGCGGCGGCTGCGTTGGAGGCGTGGTTTGTGTGCTGTGGCGTGTTTAAGTTTGCGGCGCGGTGAGGGTGGTGTCGTGGATGCTAGGACAGCTTGGCCGAGCGGTTAAGGCGATAGACTCGAAATCTATTGGGGTAACCCGCGTGAGTTCAAGTCTCACAGCTGTCGATCTCTTTATGTCCGCGCCACCTGCTGCTCGTTCCCATCGCTTTTACGCCGTCTGGAAGCCGGCGCGGTGTCCGGGCGGCTGTCGCGGACTCCGGCCAGTCGTATGGGCGCGTCGGTGGGCGAAGCAAAAGCGTGGGAGCGGTGCAGAGTTGTGGGGCTGCCAGGGCGTCCAGGCGGCGTGGCCGGAGGATCGTGTGCGCTGGCCGCGTAGCCAAGAGGAGTGCGGTGCTGGTACAGCTTGCGGCGGCTGCGTTGGAGGCGTGGTTTGTGTGCTGTGGCGTGTTTAAGTTTGCGGCGCGGTGAGGGTGGTGTCGTGGATGCTAGGACAGCTTGGCCGAGCGGTTAAGGCGATAGACTCGAAATCTATTGGGGTAACCCGCGTGAGTTCAAGTCTCACAGCTGTCGATCTCTTTATGTCCGCGCCACCTGCTGCTCGTTCCCATCGCTTTTACGCTGTCTGGAGGCTGGCGCGGTGTCCGGGCGGCTGTCGCGGACTCCGGCCAGTCGTATGGGCGCGTCGGTGGGCGAAGCAAAAGCGTGGGAGCGGTGCAGAGTTGTGGGGCTGCCAGGGCGTCCAGGCGGCGTGGCCGGAGGATCGTGTGCGCTGGCCGCGTAGCCAAGAGGAGTGCGGTGCTGGTACAGCTTGCGGCGGCTGCGTTGGAGGCGTGGTTTGTGTGCTGTGGCGTGTTTAAGTTTGCGGCGCGGTGAGGGTGGTGTCGTGGATGCTAGGACAGCTTGGCCGAGCGGTTAAGGCGATAGACTCGAAATCTATTGGGGTAACCCGCGTGAGTTCAAGTCTCACAGCTGTCGATCTCTTTATGTCCGCGCCACCTGCTGCTCGTTCCCATCGCTTTTACGCCGTCTGGAGGCCGGCGCGGTGTCCGGGCGGCTGTCGCGGACTCCGGCCAGTCGTATGGGCGCGTCGGTGGGCGAAGCAAAAGCGTGGGAGCGGTGCAGAGTTGTGGGGCTGCCAGGGCGTCCAGGCGGCGTGGCCGGAGGATCGTGTGCGCTGGCCGCGTAGCCAAGAGGAGTGCGGTGCTGGTACAGCTTGCGGCGGCTGCGTTGGAGGCGTGGTTTGTGTGCTGTGGCGTGTTTAAGTTTGCGGCGCGGTGAGGGTGGTGTCGTGGATGCTAGGACAGCTTGGCCGAGCGGTTAAGGCGATAGACTCGAAATCTATTGGGGTAACCCGCGTGAGTTCAAGTCTCACAGCTGTCGATCTCTTTATGTCCGCGCCACCTGCTGCTCGTTCCCATCGCTTTTACGCCGTCTGGAGGCCGGCGCGGTGTCCGGGCGGCTGTCGCGGACTCCGGCCAGTCGTATGGGCGCGTCGGTGGGCGAAGCAAAAGCGTGGGAGCGGTGCAGAGTTGTGGGGCTGCCAGGGCGTCCAGGCGGCGTGGCCGGAGGATCGTGTGCGCTGGCCGCGTAGCCAAGAGGAGTGCGGTGCTGGTACAGCTTGCGGCGGCTGCGTTGGAGGCGTGGTTTGTGTGCTGTGGCGTGTTTAAGTTTGCGGCGCGGTGAGGGTGGTGTCGTGGATGCTAGGACAGCTTGGCCGAGCGGTTAAGAAGTGGTAGTGTCATGACGACTATGATTGTATGCTTCCTAATTAGCGAGCTCATGTTGCTTGTTTGTGGTCGATACGTAGAGCTGAACACCGAGTGAGAGGCTAACGAACACGATCGCAGCTAGCAGTAAGAGTGTCTCGAGACGCGTGACCCCGGTAAACAGTGATACCGTCTCCTCGTCCTCGTCTTGCGCTAATAGCGTATTGGCAGTCTCGCCTGGTCGATTCTTCGGGAGCGAGCGAGCTTTCTTCATGGGGCGAGTAATAATACTCTGTGGAATATGAAACTCGTCGATACTGTGCCCCGTCCGGTCCCTCCACGCGCGCTGAGCTTTGATGTACCCGCGCACCCATTGAGCCTCCTTCTCGTCCATGCGGCCACGCTGGCGCCGCATTTCGTGTAGGTATAGACCTTCTCGGGGCTCTATCGCGTGAAGCCGCCACTCGTCCACTTCTGGCTCACTGTCGTCGATATATCCGTCGCTTTCTTCAGCATGATAATCACTATCGCTATCTTCGTCGTCTGGAAGTCTCCGCCCCACTTCGCCTGCCGAGTCCGTGTTGGCAGTCTCCGCGGCGGCATCACGCTTATCTGATGCCCTCAGCAGCTCCTCAAGTGTAGCAGGCGGGTGCTCGTGGTAGCGAGCTACAAAGCACGGAGAGCTGTCCATGCGAGCAATTCTGGCCGTCTCAGCGGCGATCCCGCTTCTCCTAGTCGGTTATTAACAGATTGTGATCGTAGGTTTCCGCCGACCCTCACCAGAAGTTGCCACCGACCACAAGTTCAATATGAAATGTGGCGGGCGGTTCAGCGCGATGCAAGAGGAGAAAGAGAGAATAAACCCTTGATGAAGCCCGTGTTGAACCCTTAGCCCAATTCCCCTAGACAATCGTGGGTGAGGATCCCGGTGCACGCTTGTAGCACTGCGGCGAAGGCTCGCCGTTTGTTTTAGGACTGAGTGAGGAATTGGCACCGCTCGAAGCAGCAGTCCGCCCGCCACTCGCCACGGAGTCATCAACAATGGGGCCTCGCGTAGGCGATAGCGGCGGCGTTCCCCTCCCACTTCGCCTGCTGTCCATGGACGACTCCGACAGCGATGGCATCATCAGTCCACCAGTGCTACCAGCACCAGTGTACTGCTTCTTTCCCAGCTTCTGCTGCGCGACGATCTCGCTTCGGATGATGAGGAAGATGCGGTAGAGCACAGATGCGAGCAGAACGGAGCCCAGCAGCAGCGTGTAGAAGATCGTAGGCAGCACCACGCTCGGTTGTAGCTCACCACTCTTCAGCTCCTCGTTGACAACGTTAGGGATGGCATCGTGATCTGTGCCTGTCGTGGCAGTGGCTGCAGCCTCCGCCGCTTGCACGTGCTGCCGCTCAAGCTCCGTCTCCAGGAGGTGGATGGTCTCTAGGCGACTCTCGGTGATGCGCGTCATGTTCTCCACCTGACAGGAAGCAGCAGCGGCGATCGATCATCAGCCACACATGCACACACACGCACTCAAGATTTTCCCCCCACTATTCTTACCTGCAGTCGCAGCACCATCACTTCGTCCTTGAGTCTCTCGCGCTGCTGCGTGAGCGCCTCGATCTCCGGGCTCATCATCTGGTGCAGCGCGAAGGTGCCCACGATCCCCACCATCAGCAGCGCCAGGATCACCGTCAGACCGCTCGCTGCCCTGCTCGTAGGAAGCCCCAGGGATACGCGGGTGAGGCAGCGACGGATTCGCGGGAAGCGCCGCTGCAGCGCGCGAGAGCAGCCGCCGGGAGTGGCCGCTGAGGCCGACGGGTTCCCGCCGGAGCTGGAGCTGCCGCCGGACTCGGACAGGAACGGACGGCCGTCGTCAGCGATGTTGATGCTCGTGCTGGGCTGGGAGGTGGCGGCCGCGGCGACCGCGCTAGATGAAGACGACATGGCGGCAGTGGACGACGCTTCTCCGAGTCCCGCGAGTCTCCCAAGTGCGATAAGAAACGCTGGCAAGTATTAGCCTCATACAAAAGGCAAGTATAGAAACGGGATGTTGATTACGCATGGGCGGCTCCATCTGGATGGCGCATACTGGCCTCAACCCACTTTGCTGTTCGTTGCTGCTGCTGCTGCTTCGTTAGGTGATCCTGCAGCGGTGAGGTACAAGTCCTATAGCTGCGCGCATTTTAGCGGCGACGGCTTCGTGGACTGCTACGACTGTGGCTGCGGCTCGGGCTGCGGTGGCGGCTGCGAGGGCTGCTACGCCGACGGGGACGGGACTCCGAACGGGAGCGCGACGAGAGAGAAGAGGCAGACGATGCTGAGCGCGAGCGAGATCTGCTCGAGGACACCGAGCGCGAGCGCAACCGCCTGCGACGCGGACTGCGAGATGCCCTCGAGGAAGGACTCGTGCTTCTTCCACGACGGCGGTGCTCGGGCGACGCACTGCGCAGCTTGCGCTTGCGGGACTGCGGTCGTGAGTCTGCTGCAGGAGAGCGGCGAGGAGAACGTGGAGCTTCTTCTGTTCGCACTCGAACGGGCAGTGCCGCTGGCAGCGGCTGCTGCTTTTCGGGTTTTAGCTTCGGGGACGCTTCCTGCTTCACCTCCTCTTTCTTCACCACCACGCTCGCGTCCTTATGGCCTTGCTCTTTTTCCAAAAACGATTCACTGCCTCTGCTTTCCTTCTTGCTGCCCGCTTCACGGCGTGGCGACTCATCCGCCACCGCGCTGACCGACGCCGAGCGGCCTGACAGATTCAACACCTTATGCTCGCCCTTAAGCACAGCCGAACGTGCAGGTGACACACTGACCGACAACTTCTCCGCCTTCACCTTCACTTCAGTCTTCGTACGACGGGATCCATCATGGCCGCGACTGGGACTGCGACTGGGGCTACGACTCGACCCGCTGGACGATTGCGATGGAGAGCGCTTCGCCCTCTTCTTCTTCGACGAAATCTTCTCATGACGCGACTTCCTACTGCGTGAGCGGGAACGCGAAGAGCTGGACGCACGGGAACTTCTGCTGCGCGACGATCCCGAACTGGACGAGGACACCGAGCGGCGTTTTCTCTCGGTAGCCAAAGACGACCGACGTGAACGCCGCTCAGCTAAGGGCGAGCGAGACTTCGACCGACGACGCGTCTTGGGCTCGTCACGGCCACGACTGCGTCGGTCGCGGCTACGGTGCTCACCAGGAGACCTCGGCCGACGCGAACGCGAACGCGACCTCGACCGGGAATGCGGGGATCGGAAGCGCTCTTGCCTCGCCCTCATCTTTTCCTCGCGCTCCTCCCTCTCCTTGAGTCTCAGCTTCCGAGCCTCTTCTCTCTCCTTCCACTCGTGCTCCTTCCTTTCCTTCCGCTCCATACGACGCCGCTCCTGCGCCTCCGGGTCGAAACTCTCGCCGGCCACGTAGTCCGTGGCGATGCCGAACGCGTCCTTGATCCTCTTATTCTCCTCCTCCTTCCTCTTCTGGCGGGCGTGGGAGCTCTCCGCGTCCTTGGCCTTCTCCCCCCCTCGGTCGCTAGCCTCGTTCAGTCGCGCCAGCAGCCGCTCCCGCTCCCGCTTGACCTTTTCCTGGATCTCCTCGGGGTCGCATCCGCGGTCCTCCATCTCCAGCGATATCTCCAGCAGCTGCAGCTCCACCTTCCGCTTCTGCTCGTGCAGCAGGATGTCCGCGTTTGGCGGCGGCCGGCCCTTGCCGCCTCGGTGCGCGCCAAAGTCCCCCGACGCGCCCCCGCGCTGGTTGCGCGCCAGCGTCTGCCGCGTGCGCGACGCGTTCACGTAGCTGAGGTTGCGCTGCACGTAGCCATTGGTGCCGGAGCCGCGCACTGTGCGCAGGCCGATGCCGTTGTACATGGCTCCGCTGCTTCCTCCTGACGACTGGTCGGGTTGTGTTTCCCCTTTTCGGCGCTCCAGTGGATTCTCCTACGACAATTCGTACTTAGGCGAGAATATCAAGCCGCGCCAGCACGTTGTAGTATTCTGCAACTTGCACCAAGATGCTGACGCTGCAGGTGGGGCAGTGCGGGAACCAGTTGGGGCGCGCGCTGTTCGACAAGCTGGCGGCGGAGCAGGAGGCGGGCGACTCGGCCTTCTTCCACTCTGCCGACGCCTTCCGCAGCGATCGGTCGGTGGTGCACACGCACAGCAAGAGAAGAGCTCGCGCGGTGCTGGTGGATATGGAGCCAAAAGTCATCCAGCAGTGCTACAAGACGGAGAGCGCGGCTGCAACGTGGGAGTACGGGCCCAAGAGCGCGTTCACGAGGCAGAGCGGCTCGGGCAACAACTGGGCGAGCGGGTACACGACGCAGGGCACGCAGGCGGAGAGCGAGCTGCTGGACTTGCTGCAGTCGGTGCGTGGATTGCGCTGCTGTGCTGGAGTGTACTCTGCTATGGCTAGTAGATTACAGATACTTATATATTGTGGTTTTGCGTGCAAGGAAGCTGAGCGTTGCGACTTGCTCAGGGGGTTTCTCACGCTGCAAAGTGCAGCGGGAGGCACAGGGTCTGGTCTGGGATCGTTCCTAACAGAGAAGCTGGCGGATTTCTACCCGTCGACATCCTTGCTGAACGCTGTAGTGTGGCCGTACCAATCTGGAGAGGTGATTGTTCAAAACTATAACGCGATGCTCACGATGGCGAGCCTCGCGGACGCGGCACACGGCATTTTCATGCTGCAGAACGACGCCGCGAGCCTCATCTGCCAAAGGCTGCTGCGTATCCCGCACCCTTCGTTTGACGCGATGAACGAAGTTCTTGCAGCACATCTGGCCTCTGCGTTTCTCCCAGTGACCTCCAATTTTCGGAGCCAGTCTGGCAAGAGTTTTGACTCGCTTGGAGAAATTCGCGACCGGTTGTGCCAGCATCCCGTACGCTATATTGCAGATTTGTTAGCTGTGTTGTGGAGTGCAGGTTATGCCAGTTTCATTGAGTTCACGTGAAAACTATGTGGTTTGGATGCCGTGCTTGCAGGGATTTAAGCTTCTCGATATCAAGATGGTTCCACTGATGCCCCATAGATCCAAGAAGTTTAGCACGCACACATGGACAGGAATCGTGAAGCAATTGCGCCAGGTGTGTGTCATTGCCAATCTATATTTCTGCAAAGGTGAAGTCTAATATGTTTTCGCTCTTGCCAGATGCAAGTTGCCAATGCAGCTTTTGAGGAAGGCGTTGACTGGGATATTTCGTTGTCATCCGAACAAGGAAGAGGGCTTAACCGCTCCGTCGGTAGCTTACTCATTTTACGAGGAAAACACTCCGATCAAGCCGATCCGGCTGCATTTTCTGATCCGAGAATGTATACCGCATGGAGTATTGACCCGTTTCAGTGCTATTCATCAGCCGCGAGTTTCAACTCCTACGACAAGACAGGGACTCTGATAAGGTACTGCTAACTACAATCGCGCTTGGCTGTTGATAAAATATCCTAAATTTCTGTTTTAAATTCCTGCAGCAATTCCAAGGCGATGATGCAGACTCTGGCGATAACGATGGACAAGGCTTACGATATGTTTTCCCACGGCGCATATTTGCACCAGTATGAACGCTTTGGCATCGATCGCGCGTTCTTTCAAGAAACGTTTCTCCAAATTGATCAGATCACGCAGAACTACGCCTCCCTGTGAATTCTATTCCGACCCACGGTTTTTGTTGTGGCAAGGGAGTACGGTAAGCCTGCTCAAACGAATTCATGCTTGCTTGCCTGGTATATTGATAAAGACTGATGATGCTGAAAAACATGTATCGAAGCCGATTGCAGCGTCGACAAGATAAGACCAGAACTGAAGATTAAACGCAGTCACGCTCGTGAAATGGAGGATGCAGATATCGCTGATACTTCTTCATTATTAAGGACGCATCTCATTGTACGTGCCTGTGAGAGGTATGCGTTTGCTGGAACGGACTATCAACACTTGACTAACTACAGCAATCTGGCTGCTACTTGTAGGGTTCTTGGACAACAAACAAATGCGCGGATCTCACGGTCCGAGCGCGGACATCATTTCAAGCGGTTCAAACGTCTCCAACAGCGCGATGACGCTGTCGTCCAGCTCCAGCTCGCCTTCTTGCGTGACAAATTGGCCATGACTGTCCAGATACTCCCCCGCGTGCGGCATAACTTGGTTGGTGTTGAGGGCCAAATGGGTCATTTGGGTCTGGGCACCTACCGACGGTGCGTATGTCTGCGTCGCTTCAAATGTGGGTCGTGGATGATCACTCGTGACCAGGACTTCGCTCTCCGATTTGTTCGTAGGGCTCGCAGCGGCTTCTGCTTTCCGCCTCCGTGCAATCTTTTCGCGGTACTTTTGCGCATGCGTCATGGTCTGGCGAGTCGTACGGGTCCCGATGTGCGCGGCAATTGTTTTCCATGGACCTGACGGATAGCACTCGAGGGCTTCCAAGAACAGTTCGTGCTCCTCGAGAGTCCAAGGCGTGCCGGCACGCTTCGTGGGCAGCGAGCGAGCCTGGTCCTGGTTGGGCGCCAGACGAATGAGCTCCTGGTCTCTCTGAAAGTATTGACTCTGGACGCGCGGTGTGATGGTCATGTCCGGTGTGGTGTAGCGAGGTGGTGGTGCAGTGCGGTGGTTCACTCGGAGGTGACAAATGCAAGAATGATATCTGTTGTGGACGACAGGTCTCGGCGGGGCCGGTCGATGGACCGTTCACACAATTGCATTGCTGATTGCAATGGGACATGGAGCGTAGAGACCGGTGCGATGACTTGCCCAATGTCCCTCATCATAGAGCGGGCTTTCAAAGGCAGGGCAAAAGCAAGTTTCCAGCCCAAAATCCAGGTTCGGCGGCCTGATTGGATATTATTGTAACAGGATTTTCGACTGGTGAGAGATTGTTGGGCCACGCGTGGCCGTATTGTTACAGTCTTCAGCTTCCAGTCCGGGCTGCTACCCCCAATATGCGCGCGCAAAGAAAATGGAAATGGTTGGTCCCAGTCGGCAAGTTGGCGCCGCATTGTTCACGTTACGCCTACCAATCCGATCATACGAATCGTAAACATACCGAGGAGGTTACGAGACCGACCCCCTTGAATCTCTTCGCTAACTCGCCCGAAATGGCCACAGCGGCAGCGTCGCTGCGTTGGTCGTGACTGGTACGGAAAATCGGGGAAAAATAAGGGAGCAATGAACTCGGGAGCATTGGAGCAGAAAAACTACAGCACGTGGTGTTAGCTACTCACCATACGAACAACTTCAACGCAATGTTCAGCAATGCAGCGTGTATTGTGTATATATTAAAATCTAATCATCTAATTCACGCAGCCCAGCATACCCCCACGAGCGTGGGCGCAGGAACTCTTGTTGAAACTCCTCGTCGTCTTGGTGAAGTAATTCCTGATAAGACATTGTCAGCGGAGCCATTCTCACACGAGAAGTGTCGAGACTTTTCTCGACCAGCTCGAACCGCGATGGCTCGCGTCGCATGCTGTCAATTCCGTGCCCAGCTTGGTGCGGACGAGGATGCTCTTCCACTCGTTGACGTTTCTCTCGTGGCGCAGGCTCAACTACTCGGGAGGCTCGAGCCGAGGCTGTCCCCGGCAGCCACCAGTGCTTGTCGAAGTACTCTGGCATCAGCTTCAGAGGTCCAGCAGACTCTATGATAGCAATCAAATCGTGCAAGCTTTTGCATCATCTCAACATCACCGGGTTTTACTAGAAGCTGTGATCCTTCGTCCACTCATGGATGGCTGCCTCGGCAGCTTCTGCACTTCGTACTCGAGCTGCGGCGGCGCGGGTATAGTATATGTGGTCGTTGATGAGCTGTGTGCTGCCACAGCAGGCGAGGTGTGATCCAAGAACAATGTCTGCGAGGGGTCCGTGCGGTTGAATGACACGAACCATGGCTCGGCGAAGAGATGGTCGAAGGAGAAGTGCTCGGTGTCGTCATCCTCAATGCGCGGATAGACCGCCCTACACTTATCGGGATCTACATGTATTTCAAGCATTCTCTAAAGATATTCTGGGCGTATTTTACGCAGGTACTAACACCACGTACTGTAGTTTTTCTGCTCCAATGCTCCCGAGTTCATTGCTCCCTAACTTTTCCCGAAAATCGGGAGTCGTCTCTAGAAGACTCCTGTGACAGCCGGCCGCCAAACCGCAAGAACCGCGCACTTCGAATCAGCGCGATGCATGTGTATGCACACTGTGAGAATCGGTGCAGATCCCGCTGGTATTTAACGGCTGCAGAGAGCCAAGCTATTACTGTAGTGACGGACGACGCCGACTTGAGGAGGAGCTCAATCCACCATCGTGGTTGCGCACATCGTCGGACGCATGGCAGTTGAGATGGCGGATTCGACCAATGTAGTCACAGTGAGTACATGTAGCGAGCGCCCGTATCAAGAATTGAAGTCGGCGGAGCGAGCTGGTGGTGGCCTTGGGACACGCTGAAACACTCCAGCCGAGTTCATAGTGGCGGCATCGAGCCATCACGATCAGAAGTTATCTCGGTGGAGGTCAACAAGTATCCAGAAAAAGCATACAAAGACCAAGCTTAAAATGATATTTTGAGTTATGGTCTTTTGAATATCCAGCGCGGATTAAAATTAACAGCGGAATTAACCAATCAAAGGTGAAATTTATCATTACCTAATGATCTCATCTGAGCGCGGGCCAAGCACTTTGTAAGTCAAATAGACGTCTTGAACACCTTGGAATGGGAACAACTAAAAGAAACGTATGGAGACTTCACAACAGCTACGACTGCATGCAGTGTATGACAAGCAAATGCCATCCCAACCTTAGCATCCTCACAGTAAGCCAAGGCTCTTTCTACGGTGTGAGCTCTACATGTACCAGTATCGATCAGTGTGTTGTCAGCGTTTATAGCGAACGGGGGTCATTTATCGTATACCAAGTTCGATCAGGCGCATAGTTGTTTAGAGCTATACGAAAGCCTTCACGCAGTCTGTCTTGGAGCTTCCAACCTTGCTCAAAACTTGAACGTCTCCTGGATCGTTAATGGGAGTTCCGGTTCGTCTCTATAAAGATTCCCCTTTGCAGAAGCACGAAATTACTCTACAGTAATTCGCATTGCGCTTATCGATGCTTTTGCTAAGGGCTTCGCGGAGGTTGGGATAGCTCGTCTATACATACACTTGTCTAAACCGCTTGCAAGCCGCTTCGGCGCGCACGCGACCAGCGCGAGATGGGACGTTCCACTTATTAATACCTTGAATACAGTAGTGACATCAAATTCGGGCGGATGGTTTAGCATCTGTTTGAAGAATGAGCACTTCTCGAGCGTTATGTTTCTACCATCAACCTGTCTGCGAATCTATCTGCGGCTACGGGATGAGTTGCGGTATGCAGGTTGCCCTTCAACTTTAGTACCTTTCACTCCCAGCAAAGTATCGATGTACCAACGTATCAACCCAGCTTTAAGCGGGGTGGTTTTCGCCCATATACATCATGTATGGCGTGTATTACATGTGCATGTACCTATCGGTAGATACTGCTATCTCTGCTTACGTTGCAGCTGCAAAGCTCCAGAATGCGGACTGACAACTGAGTCAGTTGAACTGATACAGTAGTCCCTGGGCTCGAGCGTACAGACCAATATATAATATAATGTTCGCTATTGTGATCCATCAGAGTGACATAACAGCCTCGCCTGTAGGATCGACTCACAGAGGCATGCAAGCCTGGCCTCGGCTTGCCCGAATAACGGCCTGAAACAACTACGGCTACCTGACAGGCTGCCAGTGACAGCTACATAAGTGGTCCTCGAGAACACGCCTTGAGGGTTGCTCACACGTTAGGTATTACCTAGAAGCACCACGCAAAACACATAGTTGTGCACGCAAGGCGAAGGTTGGTAGATTCGAGGGTAGAGATGCCCCGAACCCGCGAAGGTACATGTGCGTATTGGGCCGCCAGTAGTGCTCATTCTGCACTCAGCGAACACAGTTCTGGAGACTCGAAGTGCAGTATCTGACGGCGAGTTACCAGCGAGGTTCGCCGCGCTTTTGCGGCGGCTTGCCTCCAGCCCGTGCTCGGTTTATTCTGACGATGTGTTTCGTGGTGCTGTCAGGAATCGCCGGAGATTAATCGTACCTGCTTGAAGTTGCCGGACAAGATTCGCGTCACCAGCGCCGGCGAATCTGCTAATTAACGTTGCGGATGGAGCATCGTGTTGGTAGCCGCGCGCAAACTCCCACAGGCTTCCACGAAGCCATTTCCCATTTCCCCAAACTGAGAGCACGCGTTGCGACCCTACAGTTCTGCTCAAGTCGATGGAGGCCAAGTTGCTCGCCATGAGCGGCCTGCTGGACGAACCCAGCTTCCGCAGACTCATAAAGTTCCAGGCGCGCCGCCGAGAAGGCCTTGGTGGCAGCGAGCTGGAGATCCTCACCGAGACCGTCCATGTGAGCATGAGTGATGACCCCCGCCTGTCCTTCACGGCTTACCGCATGCGCATCCGCAGCGCCGACGACGTACTGCATCACACAGCAGTCGCGCAAGATCGCGACCCCAACGCTGGTGGGCGGTGGGTACTGGAGAAACGCTACTCGGAGTTCAATCAGTTCCGCAAGGAGCTCCTCAAGCATATTGAGCACTGGGAGAGCGTTGTGACGCACGAGTTCGCGCACCTGAAGACCAAGAACGTTATAAAGGGCCACGGTGACAAGCGCAACACCTTTGCTGTCGTCTCGAACTCTCTGCGTCGTGCAATTTCGCCGCAGTTCCCCAAGAAGCGCATTCACGTGGACACGCCTAAGATCATCGCCGAGAGAGTCCACGGTTTGACGGAGTTCGTCCGCAAACTCATGGGTGTTTATACCGATCTCGGACTCTACCTGAGCAATGGCCAGCTACACTCCACCGCCTTCGCCTCATCATACGAGCTAGTGCACGAAATGCAGATGGACATTGAGACGTTCTTGGAAGTGCCCCAGCTGCAGAAGGATGCGGAGACGCGCCGGCAATCTGCTGTGTTGGCTCTCGAGAACGTCGAGAATCGTCGTGACCTTGTTCACAATAGCCCAAACTCCGACCAAGCTGAACCTGTGTGCTGTATCTGCTTGAATGAGGACGATCCCGAAGCCGATGAAAACGCGCCGCTCGTGCAACTTCCTTGCCGCCACCACTTCCACGAAGACTGCGTGATCGACTGGTTCAGTGCCAGCACGACATGTCCGCTTTGCCGCCGCTCCACTGCCAGCCCTACCGCGTAAGCCACTAACACATAATGAAAACCGTTTAGTACATTGCATTCCACCTCGATCGTTTTCTTGACGGGGAGCGTTGTCGCGTCCGATCCAATAATGCGATGGGATCTGCAGTCAAGACTGCAACCTGCCGCCAAAGTATCCAGGCAGCGCGCAGGTGGAGATTTGCGGCTCCGTATGATAGGCTGATTGGCGTCAACACGAATTTCATGACGAACTTCAGAGAACCCAAGCACCCCTCGTTCCTCCAGAACTCAATTTCACAACGCTAAAGAAACCTGATCAGTCGAACGACGCCGAGGCCCATGACGACTTCTGCCTTCGAGAGCAAGCTGCTAGCCTCAAGCGGTCTCCTGGACGAGCCGCATTTCCGCCGACTGATCAAGTTCCAGACTCGACGGAGAGAGGCGCTGGTCGGCAGCGAGCTGGAGATCCGCACCACCGTCACCCACGTCTTACCTCCCGAGGCCAGCACCGACGTTTGGTTCACCGTCTATTGCATGCACATCCGTCGAGTTGCTGATACCCGGGTAGACGCTGCTGACCAGTGGGCCCTGAAGAAGCGGTATTCGGAGCTCGAGGCTTTCAGGAGACTGCTGCTCAAGCGTATCGCAGACTGGGAATACACCGTTCGCGGTGAGTTCACTAGCAAGACGACCACCGGCCGCCGCACAGCGTTTGCCGTTGTTTCGAATGCGATGCGGCGCGCCATTTCGCCATCCTTCCCGAGGAAACACATTAGACCCAACAAACCCGAAGTTATCAGCGAGCGAGTCGTGGGGTTGCCGAGTTTTGTGCGGAAGCTGCTTGGCGTGTACACGGATCTGGCAGTTTACAAGACCAACAACCGACTACAAGATGGCGGCTTTGCCTCATCGTGGGCCCAGTTGTGCACGATCTTCTCTGAGCTGGAGACGTTCCTCGAGGTCCCGCAGCCCCAGAAAGATGCAGAGATTCAGCGGCAGTCCGCTGTGTTGGCGTTGAAAGACTTCATCGAGGCCACAAACTCGGAAGATCAAACCTCGCCCGAGCAGCTATGCTCCATTTGCCTAAGCGAAGATCCAGCAACCGACCAAGTAAGCTTGCCGTGCGGCCACCACTTCCATGAAGACTGCGTGATCGACTGGTTTAGCACCAGAACAACGTGCCCGCTTTGCCGCCGCAGCTCTCATTGACGAAGTGCTACACGCCAAATGACAACAATGTGCCAAGTTTTGACTTTCTACCGACAATATTATCTATCTGCAAGATTCGACTTGTTGATATTGTAGCTCTACGCCCCAACAGGAGGAAGCAACTGCGATCTCAATTGGCCCGCTCTAGTCGCTCAAAAGCATCGCCGGAACCAATCTCCTTCTCCCGTCACAACTTTGGTTTCCAATTGAGGTATCAACTGAGTCATGTTCATTGCAATTTGTTGTTTGGACTGTTCGCTCGAAATGTACAAGGCATGACTGTTTGAGATTGCAACAACCACCAGGTAATCGGGTTGCGACTCGTTACCAGGGAGATATCGGTCGGGCCACAACAACGCCCCCAACATATCACGATACAGGACGGCAGACAAGAGGACAAGTTGTCCTGGTGTTGTCCTGGACAACACCCGGCTATTGAAGCTGAAGTCAGGCCAGCCATGCAGCAAAATAAGGTTCTTCTAATTCGCGATCTACCTGCATTCCAACCCTTCACACGTAGCGTGTTATGAGACGCTCTCGCAGTAGAGGCAACCAGTCCACGATGCCAGTGCCGACACCCAGCAGCGGAATGCAGTTCCGAAGCCACGAACAGATAGGGCTGTGGAGAGCTCATGAGAACGAGATTCACAGGGTAGTTTTTGCGCGTCGCGATGCATGCATCGATAGCTTGCAAGAGAAGGCTAAGTTACGACCTGCTTGTTGGAGATCGTTAGGGCAGGATTGCGCTAAATGAACACAATATACCTCACCTGAAAAATGAAAAAAATGAAAGTTACGGCCTGCACCTCAGGCTGGTCACCAGCGCATCAAATGGGTACAGTACGCGGATGCGATTCAGAAGCCGCGGACAGATAGGTACGCGCACTTCAGGATCGGAGCACCGCAAAACCCGACGAGCAGCTCGTCGTCCTTCGAAGTAGCCAGCGGGATGCTGCCCACCACCAGGAGGGTTGCCGCAGCTTCAACGGCAGCTTCAATCGGCACATTCAGCGTTGAGCTTTGCGCTCTGCTGCACTGGCAGCTCAGCACCCGGAAGGCAGGCAAGGCTCTCAGCTCAGCGGAGCGCGGAGCTCGGCAAAGCTTTGCTTTGCGGCTATGCATGACACGCGCACCGTGTCGGCTGATGATAACGCCGGCAGCTTCGCGGCAGGTAAACAGCGGAGTCAGCACCGAAACCAGCTGCAGGTCGCCGTTGAACGGGACTGTGGAGACCGTTGGCGAAGACCCAGGGCCTGTATGGAGCGTGCAGCACGCCAAGCAGGACAAGCCGACCCGCTCCCAGTGAGGCTGCCCGCCACCACGGCCATCTGCCGGAGCACATGCCGAGCCTCGCGCGGGGCGCTCGCTGGCTGAAGAGCGTGGTGCCCCCCATCGTTGAACTTGCCGCCCCGATGGCGAGAGACGACGGGAGGGGCGGCCCAAACTGCAAGCAGTCGTTCGGCAGCACCTCAACCACGACACCTTTGCCGATGATGCCACTTTTCCCGGACCGGAGCCGAGTGCAGTGCAGACACTGTCTGAGACGGCTGCACTACATCTATTAGCACGACGAATGCCGCTGCCATCGCTGCTGCTTTTTGGTTTCCCCTGTAGGCGGCGCATGGAATCTTTTTCCTCCATGTCAGAGAAGCAATGCCGCGATTTTAACGCGCTGAGGCGTTTTCTGAAGTTTGCTGACTGTCACTTGCGTTTAACAAATCCCGAGGAACCGGGCGCCGTCGTGAACGCCCGCCGAGCGACGAGCTCCTGTAGGCGATGGCGGCGGCGGTACGGAGGCGCGCGACGTGTGAGCGCAGCCGTCTTGCTTGCCGGTGAGCTGGAGTGGAGCTCGGGGACTTGGCCCGTGCTCGTCGGCGGCATGCTTACTTGGCCGTGGTTTGGGCGCCGCTAATTTGCTGGTTTGGGTTCCGCGCTTCAGTTTTCCGTGTTGCATGGCCGGGGCTCCGTGTTGAACTTGATGATTGAAGTTGGCGGGCATAGTGAAAGCAAGAGTCGGCCTCCAATACGTGATATTCTCGGGGAATGCGCGCTCGCAGGTAATTGAAGTTGCAGTGACTGGACCCGTCTGCGCTCGTCGTCTGGGCGTCCCGGCGCTTTCATTTTCGATTCAGCGTCGCGGAGCTCGGTCCGCCATCAACCTTCGCCCGACACCAGCACCACCAGCCAGCAAGCAGCGCTCCCGCGTGTGACTGCCCGTTATGCTTTCATCGTCGCCGACACTGCCGTCGACAACCGTGCGGCCGTTCGCCTCTGGCGCGCCCTCGGTGGAGTTGCCCAAATTAAGGATCCCAATCGAAGCGGTACGCCAAGAAACAGGGCGTGGCCGCGACGACACGCGAGCCCCCGTCGGTGGGTATCACGCCGCGCCGCCAGTCCCCGTCAAGACTGAGGCCCCGACCAGCGCCACCATGCAGCACGGACCCTCGACGCGCTCGCCGTCGTCTCCGTCTTCCTTCTTCACGCAGCCTGAGATCGCCAAGGTAGGGCTCGCCTACCACTGCTTCAAGTGCATGCACTTAGATCAAAGGGCAACATGTCCATGTGCAACCAGCCAAAAGATGGTTGAAGTCTAACCTGGTGGTTGGTATCTATTGTGATATTTGCAGCTTGGCTTGACCCCGCTCCTCGAAGCCGCCGAGCAAGTGCGCCCGTCGACCGCTGAGACGTCGCCTCTCTTCGGTCGCACAAGCCCGCTCAAGCGCGAGCTCCCGCAGCCGCTGCCCTCAATCATGCATGCCATGGGTGGCTACCCTCTGGAGTCATTGTCGATGCCCAAGAGAGCACGCGTCGGCTCGGACGTCGGACTGGATGTGCAGGCTTCGTATAGCTTGCTGGGCCACATGCCTCGCCAAGCCATGATCTACCCTTCCATCCCCCAGCAGCATCCCTACCACCAGCAAGCTACTTCCTACGCACCTGCCACTGAAGTCCAAACCCTCAGCAGTGCAGGATCAAGCTCGCCTAGTGCACATGGACTGCCTACCATCTCCGGTGTCTCGGTCTGGGACACCGTGCTGTCAACAGGCAAGTTCCCCACGGACGTTTGCTTGAGCGAGCATGGCTCCGGTGCGGCATCGCCGACAGCCGCTTTCAACCCCAACAAGACCAGGTCGAGCAGCGAAGACGCTACTGAGTGCATCGGAGCGTTGGCAAGCACTGAAGTGAAACAGGGGCGGTGGACAGCAGATGAAGAGCAGTACGCCAGCTCCCTGATTCGGGCAGTGAACAGCGGAGAGGTTGTGTTGCCGCCGAACGTCTCGGTGCGGAAATTTGTTGCAGACAACCTGCAGTGCAAGACCATGCGCGTGAGCAAGAAGTTCCGAAGCCTCGGATCTAGCCCCCGAGACGCCCCTGAACATGAAGAGGAGCCCGTGACCCCACGTGATGAGTCGTTCAACCCGCTCAGTCTCAAGTCTATCATGAACAACGAGTCTAGCGCCTCGACGTTGTCGTCCGATGTGCTTAACGTTGCGGAGACCATCGCCAACGCGAACCTGATCCGCCAGAGCCCAAGCAACAAAAGTGGCAAGAAGTCAACGCAGCGTGTACTCAAGCGGTCCGACTACTCGCAGCACGGAAGGGTGCGCAGCGGCCGGTGGTCGGTGGAGGAAGAAAACTATGCCAAGGCCATGATCGAGGCGTTCAAGTCGGGCTACCTGCCACTGCACGGCAACGTCTCCCTGCGCAAGTTCTTGTCCGAGGTGCTCGTGTGCCACCCGATGCGCATCAGCAAGAAGTTCGTGGGTTACGTGCGGAAGTATCACTGGTACCGCATCGCCGCGGGCAAGTGCGATCCCGAAGCCAAGCGTCAGGCGTTGTACCAACTTAGCCACCTCGAGCGGGTCTTCTGGACGTCGCTGCAGCAGAACAGCGAGTGGTCCGCCGGCCTCCGCAGGGACGACTAATCTGACCAAGGTCAGCCCGGCTGCCGGTGAGGCAGCTCGATGATATTTAACAGCGGACCGAATGAAGGCCAATCCAGCGCAGCAAAGCTCGCAAAGAACAGGAACACCTTGTTATGAGGCAGGCGAGCAGTATGTAAGTTTAGTAATAGGTGTTGCAGTCAATGAAACATTCATTTTGCGTACTTCTCCCGAGCAAACTGAAGCAAGGCATGTTGAAGTTAAGGGTAACAGCACATGGACAGGCCCAAGCGGTACTGCAAGTCAAGCAAAACAATATTCTAACCCAAAACAACAAAACGGACGACCCAAAACAAAAACTTCAGTTGACCTGCGAGCGCGCATTCCCCGAGAATATCACGTATTGGAGGCCGACTCTTGCTTTCACTATGCCCGCCAACTTCAATCATCAAGTTCAACACAGAGCCCCGGCCATGCAACACGGAAAACTGAAGCGCGGAACCCAAACCAGCAAATTAGCGGCGCCCAAACCACGGCCAAGTAAGCATGCCGCCGACGAGCACGGGCCAAGTCCCCGAGCTCCACTCCAGCTCACCGGCAAGCAAGACGGCTGCGCTCACACGTCGCGCGCCTCCGTACCGCCGCCGCCATCGCCTACAGGAGCTCGTCGCTCGGCGGGCGTTCACGACGGCGCCCGGTTCCTCGGGATTTGTTAAACGCAAGTGACAGTCAGCAAACTTCAGAAAACGCCTCAGCGCGTTAAAATCGCGGCATTGCTTCTCTGACATGGAGGAAAAAGATTCCATGCGCCGCCTACAGGGGAAACCAAAAAGCAGCAGCGATGGCAGCGGCATTCGTCGTGCTAATAGATGTAGTGCAGCCGTCTCAGACAGTGTCTGCACTGCACTCGGCTCCGGTCCGGGAAAAGTGGCATCATCGGCAAAGGTGTCGTGGTTGAGGTGCTGCCGAACGACTGCTTGCAGTTTGGGCCGCCCCTCCCGTCGTCTCTCGCCATCGGGGCGGCAAGTTCAACGATGGGGGGCACCACGCTCTTCAGCCAGCGAGCGCCCCGCGCGAGGCTCGGCATGTGCTCCGGCAGATGGCCGTGGTGGCGGGCAGCCTCACTGGGAGCGGGTCGGCTTGTCCTGCTTGGCGTGCTGCACGCTCCATACAGGCCCTGGGTCTTCGCCAACGGTCTCCACAGTCCCGTC